AATGCATATTGGATCCAACTCCTTTTTAAACAAACACATACATTAATTATAACTCTGTTATTCCACTTCGAAGAACAAGGTGTAGAGACCATAAAGGTCATTTCTGTTTCATTCTATGATCTCTTTTATTTTGAAAATCTAAATGTTTTGGTGCCTCCACTGTTGCACACATGTTGGGCAAAAAAATTTTTTTTTATTTTTCAATATGATACTGTCTTTAGTTTAGTATTGAAATAGTCATGTCATTTTCTTATTGGATTACTGGTGTGAGCATTTGCCCCAAAAACATAGCACTAGGCTGTTAAAGTAATGCTTGGTTGGCATTTAGTCTGAAAGCTCAAGGCTTGCATCTGTGGAAAATCCTATTTTCTTCAAGGATTTGCATTGGTGCCACAAAAATAAACACTGATGTGCACAAGTTTCACTTAACACTTATTTAAAAAAGCCAACAGGTATATATTTTTATGTTCAGAGGTAAGGAACAAATGCCATTGATTGTGAATGCATATTTACAGCACATGTAGGTCAAATGTAAATTGGTGTACATGCACTAGCTGTTCTGAGCTTGAATTTTCTTTAAGGTCATGTGTGCAGAACACAGTTTTGCACATGCAATCTGAGGAAATTAGCAACAGGCTTCGTCTAAAGACAAATGTTTTATTTTTCTGCTGTTTCTAAACAGTTCTCAGCTAAAAGCAGACAGGAGTCACATACTAATGAAAAGTCACGTTTTTTGTATTTGTAGCAGTAACAAAACATTTTTTTCAATTTATTTTTTACCTGCATCACCCCAATTATCACAGCCTCAGCCATCACCTAATCTAGCTCCAGCGCCTTATAGCTCACGTGCCTGAGCGGCAGCAGCATATTACTCTGATGAATCCCATGCTTCAGAGGACAGATTCTCCACGCTTCCAGTCCAGAGCGGCAGCAGAGTGTGGGGGCGTCATCCTGCTTCTAAGGAAAAGGAAGATGCTGCTTCTTATCAGCCTGATGAGGCGGATTTAACAAGAAAAGAGAATGTGATGGTAACGATGATGAGCAAGTGAAAAGGAATAAGACTAGTTTGAGCCACTCAAATATGAATACGAGAGGTATACAGCAATCAGTATGACTCAGTCTGATTAAATGATTAAAAGGATACTGTAACAAAAAAACAACAACACTTTTTTTGTTTGCGATGTCTAACAAATCAGACACATTTCCTTGTAAAAATAACGAAATAATGCAGATAACACTGCAGAATATGGTAAAAATAAAAAAAATACACATTATTTCATGGACACGGTTCAGAATTTTAAGGTGAGTAACAAGGTTGTGAGCATTTAATATCTCATCTGCCATAAACACACTTCTACACCAGTATACCTCTACTTACTGGTAGAATATACAGAGTATCAAATAAATGTAAATTGAAAGGAGCGAATTGCATGGTTTTAAAACCCCTTTGTAATAGCATAGATCCACAGTAACATTAACAGACAGCATCGAAAGGACCAAAAAACATCAAAGAGGAAATGTACAGTATAAGGCTGTGGAGAAGTTTTAAATAGGCTTCAGTGATAAAACAATGTCTCATACTTGGGAAATTTTAAGAGAGCTTTGTTCAGTCAATCTTTTGAATGCTCTAACTCCAAACTATACATCCAAAGAGTTTCCCTCTCCCAATACGTAAAGAAAACACTGACAGCTGTGATGATTTCAAAGTGTTGGTCAACAGCTCACAAATCACATGGGGCTGAATAAACTGCATGGGATATTTGAGATTTTAAAGAGACGTAATATGAGTTTTTACAGAAAAATATATCTTTTACATAGCCTTTTTATTTGACCTTTCACAATTAAAACTTTGTTTGACGAGCAGACTGACACCCCAGTAGTTCACTGCCAATGCATCTATAAGGTTATATTCCCTGAATTTATTTCCGGTCAGAAGTTCCAACTCTGTTTCTGCGGATGTGACCTTAAGAAAGTCCATGTTAAATTGGTCCAACCTAGCAAACGATGGAAGCATGATATTCAAGATGGATTTTGTGTAGAGGCCGGCATCCAGCTGAACTCTGACACTGGTGGCAACTAAGGAGAAAAAGCAAAAATTAAGACAACAGAAAAACATCTTAAGTAAGAGTGCATGCTAACAGGACAAGCAGAAGAGTACTGCAGTTCTGTGTTTTGGCCAAAAGTGGCAATATCATTTGAAAACTCTGTGATGCCTGTTTCATTTCTATAAAATTTGAAATTATAATGATAAGTTCCATTTAAAATTATACACTACTTTGAGTCGGTCTTACAGACAGACAGACCAAGTTCATGGGACATATGTGCTTTTGCAAGGCACAATAGCTCACTCGGCCTCATTGGAGTATTTTGTAAAAACAATGGGGGGAAAAAATGAGGGAAAACCAAAACAGACTTCTGACATCCTGTCTAACAAAAAATCTGTGGTTTCTGAGAGAACAACTTAATGAACTTTTGAAATGAAGCTCTAGCGGAAGTTCAATTGAAGAAACTCTGGCTTACCTCCATCCAATCAGAAGCCGATCCGTCTCCGAAGCGAGCCAATCAGCTTCAAACTACTCCACCACGAAGCCCAATCAGCGATCTGCTTTCACTTTATAAACTCTCCAAATCCTCATCCCAGTCCCGCTATCCTGCAAGCACTATGTCGGATTTCGATTCAGATGACAATTCACCCACCTCCATCCCCTCCTCCGCCATCGCAGCTGGATCGTCCTCCATGACACGACTTCACCTCAACCTCATCAGAGGGTATTAATCCCAGTTGTCACCATCCCTCGCCTCACTGCATTGGTCCGGCAGAAGACCACCATGTTGAGCCCGGTTCTGCCAGAGGTTTCTTCCCAAAGGGGAGTTTTTTCTCTCCACTGTCGCTCATGCTTGCTCATCATGGACAGTTCACGGCACCTGCATCACCAAGCAGGACCTCATATCCTGAGTCTCTGAGTGAAGCCCCGGCGTCAGCTCCCTCAGTCTTCTAGTCCCTCAATTCTGCTCAGCAGACCACCTCATCAACCAGCTCAATTGAACCACCACCAGTTTCAGGCCAGGGGGAACATCCCTATTCTCATTCATCTACTCATGCATGTTAAGCATAAATCAGCATGAATGTTCCTGCCGAGGTCTGAGCGCCAAAGACTATACCTTCTTATCAATAAAACTCTTCTAATTATTCTTTTTCTCTCTGTGAGTTTTTCAGATTGAACTGTCTTTGTGTTTACACATATTATTTGTATGTTGTAAAAAAAAAAAGAGAGAAATGGAGCATCCAGTTTTTAGTTTGAATATCTGGCTATGAAATGAAGACTGCCTAAAAACCAAGTTAACATTTGTAAAAGAAAGTTACTTTAATAGTACAAACTCCACATATTCTGCCCCATGTAAGGGGTTAACACAGGATGCTTCTTGGCAACATAAATGCCTTAAACGTCTTGTCCAAGTAACCTTAGGCAGATTAAGTTAACTTTTACTAAGCCATAACACGAATTATATAATAGGTTAATTTTTGAAAATATATTTTTACGTACTTTGTATAAAATGTGACATAACTCCCTTTTATTCTAAATTAAATCAGAATAAAGTTAGTGTTCCATATAGTTTATGAAAAAATTAATTATTTCTGTTTGTGATGTTCCTAAATAGTGATAACTTTTTTCAAAGTTAGTTTTAAATACAGGTCTATTTTTTCAGTATCACTGAAGTTTTGAGTACCTTGTACAAGCTTCTAAGTGCTGTAATTTTGTCCCATTCCTGCCTACAGAAGATATATAACTAAGTCAGGTTTGTAGTGCACACATCTTAACCTCTGTCAAACATTTATTTTATGGGATCATTTTGCATTACAAAGACCAATGCTGTCAAAGTGGGGTGGAGACAAAAAACTTAAGGTGGTTACTTGAATGTTTAATTAACCAAATGTTCAACAAAAGCAAAAATCCAAAAACATAAATCCACAACAATCCTGAAAACCAAGAATACTCACAAGAAGAAGGGCACAAAGTAATGACGACAAACCTGAACAGGAGGCGACTATATGGGAGAGAGAAACAAAGAGCAGGCTAATTAGCAGATTGGGAGCAGGTGTAAAAGAGGCAAGAAGGGAGCTAGGGAAAAGGAGACTGTCAAAAGAGGGCAAACAGGAAATAGGGCTATCCAAGAACTCAAATATAATCAAAGTACTACCTAGAACACAAGAATCAAAATAACAACAATGAAAACTCAAAATAAAACTTGAACAAAACCAAAACCATGACAAATGCCGAACTCAATTTCTTCATGATGCCTTATATTTTTTGAGGTACATCATTCCCCCTTTCTTTTTTTAACCAAGACATCACGGAAATGTAATACAGTCACCAATATTTAATGCATGTTACAGCTGGAATGATTTTCAAATTCTTGCAGGCTTCCACGATAAAAGGATATTCATATCCTTTTTTCTTCTTTCTACGCCTGCTCTTCAGAAAGTCTGTCCAAGCCACTGCCAAACAGTTAAATTACACTTTTATTATTAACTAAAAACATCATTGCTGTGGTTTTTGGGACATCTAAATAATTTAGCCAGTTTTAAGTCTCCTGAAAGGGGGAAGATGTGGTTTTGATGTCACATCTGAGAGTGAGAAACAACTTTGTCTTTAGGAAAAAATCCGCATCTCGCTTTAGATGTGAACGCTGAACTGATTCCATGCGCATTCATCCATCCAGACTTGAAAGATTTCCATATTCAATTTGATTTAATGTGTTTATTAAATCAAAAGAAATGTAAAAATAATTAGACGCATGCATCAATCAAATGACTACTAAGATTTAAATTCATATCTATATATTTATATTGAATTTACTATTATTTGGTATATTATGATCATTGGAAAAAAGCGCTTGACGCGCACAATGTTGTGTGCATGGAGGGGTGATGCCTGGAGAGCGAGGCATCACAGGATAAACTCCCCACTGCAGGGCGCAGCAGCTGTAGAACAGAACAGCTCTGGCATGAGACGCTTCCCGCAGCTTACAAAGGACACCTATACTTTCCAATCCCAAGATTTCCTTGAAATATACCGGAATCCCTCCATCATCTGCGAATCCAATACAATGTAGGCTGGTTGAGAGGGAACAAATGACGCATCTCCAAGTCTGGAGATATTTGAGAATGCATCGACACATGGATGTTGTTCTTTTAATTATTATTACTGTTATAAAGCAGTTATTCAGCTGCGAATGGGATTTGGATATGCGCGCTAAAAGTGTGGAGAAGTGAGTTTTGGGGGCCCACAGGATGGACACTGCGGAGGTAATTCTCTCCGTGTTGGTAGTTGTGATCATTATAGTGTCGCTGCTTTCCAACATCCTGGTGCTGATCTGCTTTCTCTACAACCCGGAGATCCGCAGGCAGGTACCCGGACTGTTCAATCTTAATCTAACCTTCTGCAACCTGTTGCTGACTGTGGCGAACATGCCGCTCACTCTGGTGGGACTCGTCAGCCGGGCTCAGCCGGGGGGACACGGCTTCTGTCAGATCGCGGGATTCCTGGAGACCTTCCTGTCCACCAACTCCATGCTGAGCATGGCCGCTCTGAGCATTGACAGGTGGATCGCGGTGGTTTTCCCCCTGAGGTACCATTCCAAGATGCGCCACAAGGACGCAGCTTTAGTGCTCGGCTACACGTGGGCGCACTCCATGTCCTTTTCCACGGTGGCCGCCTGCCTGTCCTGGGTGGGCTACCATCGGCTTTACGCGTCCTGCACCTTGTCCAACTCGAGATCTAACAACAGGACCCAGTTTATTGTCTTTACCGTGTTTTTCCACTCCTTCACCTTCCTTCTGTCCTTTATAGTTTTATGTTTCACATACCTCAAAGTTCTTAAAGTGGCTCGGTTTCACTGCAAGAGGATCGATATAATAACCATGCAAACTTTGGTGCTGCTTGTGGACATACACCCCAGGTGAGCTCCTGTCTTCCTTTGTAGTAATGAGCTGGTTAGAGTTTGTTGGTGTGGAGATGCATGTTCAAAGTGTTTAAATCTGCTTAGATTGTTTTTAAGGGTAGGCATCTGTCTAATTCTACAAAAAAACAAACAAAAAAAACAAACAAAAAAAAAGCAGTTATATGTTGATGCACTATATAGACTGTATATATCCCATGCACCTTTTTCTTCCTTTGGCACATTCTTCTTCTCCATTGACTTTTTGAGCCTATGTAACGAGTAAATTTCTTCACATTAGATCAATAAAGCCAATCAATCAACCTAAGTCATGTAGGGGACTACTGTACCAATGGGAAAGCATGTTCTCTGATCAAATGAGTCAAGAGCACAAATAATTGTTTGGTGTAAGCCCATTAATGTTATTTGCAAAGAGAGAAAAACCAAAAACACCCTAAATACCACTGAGATTAATTCCTTCAGGATTTAGCCACATTTTATGCTAAAACAAAACAAAGAAAATTTTTTGCACGTATTGGGGATTTTAAAACAAGATGGGGGTTCGCCTTGCAGCCTGACAGTAATCATAAACATAAAGCCAGAGTTGGGCTGAATAAAACATAAAAACATAAACTACATTGGAATGATAAAAGCTTGTGTGTTTGCAAGAATGGTCTAATCAAAGTGTAGATCTAAGTGTAAAGATGTGTGGATCTGTGAGAAGACCTCGCAGCTTATAGAGACTCTCATTCCAGTCTGACTAAAGTGGAGCTGCTGAGCTGACAAGGATTGAGAATATTGTCATTCTCTTAATGTTAAATGTTGGTAAAGATATATCTGCTACTCTAGCTGCAGTGAAAAGTGCTTCTACAATATGTTTGATCAGGGGAGCTAAAAGCAAATGCGGGCTGCACTTTTCAGAGTTTTAATTGGAAAAGAAAAAAAAAACATCAAGCATTTAAAGCAGTTTGGTTTCACAATCCATTCAAATGCAAAGAAAGCATCAAAGCTTCACAAATTATTCCACTAAAAATGTCACCTTGTTTTGAATAAGCAGCTTAACTCATGTTGAGTCCTGATGTGTAATGTCCTTATGATACAGAAATTCAGAATCCCCTCCTACTCTGCCCCACTGACAATAAACCAGCTGTCTTTCTTTCCAGTGTCCGTCAGCGTTGCCTTGAAGAGCAGAGGAGGCGGCGACAGAGAGCAACCAGGAAGATCAGCACCTTCATCGGCACCTTCATGCTTTGCTTTGCTCCCTATGTGATCACGAGGTGAGTGCTGTAACACAAACTAAACCTGACAGAGTTTTTTTGGTTACCACCCTCTTACACAGCAGCTCTTCCACTTCCTGCTTGTTTCCTCTCTATATGAGCTGAGTTTGGAAGATGAGAGTGGCTGACCTTGTGATAAGTAATATGCCTCTGTCCGGCTGTTGTTGCTGCTGCATTGGCACTTTCCTCCTCAAGTTCGTCCGGTGCATCCCCACTTTGATGAATTTACTGGCATCAATCACTACTTCAAGAGGGGATGCCAAAGAAGGCCATAGGAGAGAGAAAGGAGGATCTAAATGATGCAGGTGAAAGGATGGGTGTCAAAAAGATACATTCGTATAATGGAAAGAACATTTTTATCTATTTCTTCTTTGAATAATTTAATGCGTAAAAAAAAAAAAAAAATCAAGATAAAGACCAAATAAGTCAGTTAAGCCTCTGTGCCCAGTGAATAAACATTTCCTGTGGTTAGGTCTTGTCTGGAACATGACCAAATATAATTTATCTGTGGTTTTGTGTCTGGAAATAAATTTGATTTGTCTCCAAAGGTTGACTGTAATTTTCTGAAGGACAAACGGGAGTCATAGGGTCTGTTTTACAAGTGACCTCTTAGGACATTTACATTCCTCAAAGATCCTTGTCAAAATACCAGTACCAAGGCAAACCAACATTTAAATGTAACAGAACTGCTAACATCTTACTCCATATTGTTGCTATGATTAAATGGAAATGCAGTTTACTAAGAGGCCATAGAGAGTGCTGGGATGACTGGAGTTATCTTCTTCAATATGGAGTCTAATGCTTGAGGGGATGGCCCCTATTCCACCTATTGCTCTGCAGTGCTTGTCAACTGTCTAAATAAAAGCTGCTATAATTTTCTCCTGCCAAAATGGACTGTTTTTTATAGATTTTATTATAAACACACATGTTGAATCAGCATATCACCAAAGAAAAACTCTCAGAGAACATGTTATAAACAAATGTATCCTTTGCCCTTGCTTACCTTGTACACCACTACATAACTAACAATGACCAGACCAGGGGCTCATAATTGGATCACAGAGCAGTGCAGGGGCGATCCTAGCCCATCTGGGGCCCCGGGCAAACTACACCCTTAGCGTCCAATCCACCTTGCATCAGTTAACATACCAAAAAATTCTGAAACGGTACAGTACCTATTTACTGTAAGGGTATTGTTACTTTAGGACATTATCACTTATCTACAAGTAAAAATTATTTTGCGTTACGACTATTCTTTAAAGTGCAATTTATCCCAAAAATTATTCATCACTGACTTGCATCTTTTTTTCTGTGTTCTTTGCCACTAATTAATATAATCAAACAAGCATTATTTAATAGGTTTGAATAAATTACACATCTTGCTAGTGTTTTCAGTATATTAAGGGGTCTCTTGGTATCAAATGGCTGTTCTTACATTTCCACCTAGAATTAGACCAACTTGTTGCCTTACCCTGTTTATCACCCTTCTTCCCTTCTGTCTCTCCTTCTGCATCCTCACACCTGAACGAAATGAGTTTTAGCAGTCTTACTGCATTTTGGTCAGTAACAGAATTATGACATCAAACAGCCTTAGAACACTTAAGCATACATTATGAAAGGGCAGTAGGGTCCCACCTGGAAATGATTTACACATTTCAGACACTTTTTTAGGTTTACATGTTTTAGTTAACATATATCATCACCATTCCACAGAAAAACAACGTATAAAAACATTACATTTCTATTCAGATTATATTTTTAATGGATTGGACAATGCATCTATTTAGACTTATCCAATATATCACAACAGCACTGTAGTGTTATATCAGAATTAGGTTTAGCACATTTTGATTTCTAAAAAAAGAGCACACTCTACTTTGACATAATACTCAAAGTTTACTAAAAGATAAAATCTAATTTAAAAAATATAATTAAAATCTCCTCACTGTCATTATAAAGAACAAAATGAGATCTCTCTCTCTATAGTCTTCTCAGAAGTTAATAAACATGCTTTATTGTACCTAAAATAATATCTTTAACAAGTATCAATGGTTCAAAAAAAGGAAATTAAAAAGAAGAATCTGAAATCAAATAATTATACACTGCTCCAAAAATAAAGGCACAATATACAGCACCAGTCCACCTGGACAGATGGAGGAGGGTGTAAGAGGGCAACAAGGAGGAACAGGAGAAGCATTGCGAGAGCGCTGCAAAATGACCTCCGGCTGGCCACAAATGTGCATGTGTCTCCACATACTGTTATAAAACAAATCCATGATAATGGTTTGAGGGCTTGATGTCCACAGATGGGGCTTGTGATCACAGCTAAACACCGTGCAGGACGCTTGGCATTTTCCAGAGAACACTAGGATCACCACTTGTGGCATGTGCTCTTCTCACGTAAAATTTGGTTCTGGCTGAGAACATGTGACAGTCTTGAGACACTGTGGAGAGTGATCTGCTGCCTGCAACATCCTTCAGCAGGACCGGTTAGGGAGTGGGTCAGTAATGGTGTGAGGTGGTATTTCTTTGGAGGATCAATCAGCCCTCCATATGCTCACTATAGCCAGCATGACTGCCATAAGTTACCAAGAAGAGATCCTCAGACCCCTTGTGAGACTATATGCTGGTGTGGTTGACCCTAGGTTCCTCCTAATGCAGGACAATACTAGACCTCATGTAGCTGGAGTGTGTCAGCAGTTCCTGCGAGATCAAGGCATTGAAGCTAAGAACTGGCCCGCCCTTTCGCAAGATCTGAATTCCGATTGAGCATATCTGGGACATCATGTCTCCATCCATCCACCAACGTCATGTTGGACCAGCGACTGTCCAAGAGTTGCTGGATGCTTTACTTCAGGTCTGGGTGGAGATCCCTCAGGACACCACCTACTCAGCAAAAGCATTCCCATGCATTGTAGGGGGTTCATACAGGGATCTGGAGGCAACACATAATATCGAGCCTCATTTTGACCTGTTTTAAGGACATTACATCCAAGTTAACTTTATTTGCGACTCCAACTCCAATCCAATGTCATCAATTCAGAAATAGGATGTTCAATTTAATTATTCCCTTTTTTTGAGCAGTGCATAAATTATGCTTTTCTTGTATCAGTATTTCTCTTTTGAACTCCTGATAACTTCCTTTTATACGAGTCCATCTTAAGCGCCATGTAAACACTCGCTCCAGCTCAAACAGTTGCAAGTGCTCGAAAGAGTGAACGTGGAACATCAAGAGGGAGGCACTTGGCAAAGGTGCCTTGGGCTGTTACTAATGTTGCCCACATCAGACACCGCCACTGGGTGGAAGGGCTGGTGTCCTGGACTGATGAATAATTTTTTGAATGGCATTACGTTTACCTGTGGATCACAAGGCACCAGGATGCACTGTGGAATGTATGCAACAGGCAGCTTTAGAAAACTGGTCTGCTGAGAAACCTGAAAAATGTGCCCTTGTTGCTTACTATGACTTGTACAATTTTACCATTGTTGTAATGTACAAACTTTCATAGAAGCATAGCAGCATGTTTAGGAAATGCTGGGAGAGTTCTCGCAAAGCAATCTGAGATAAATCTGCTCGTCTAGTGACCATGGATGATCACTACTTTTTAAGGTGCAAATTTGAAAATTTCAAGTCCACTACTTTTTCATCCACAAGATGTTCAGATACATTTAAAATGGCACAACTTATATAAATATTGCCCTATATAGTTATTAGGGCAGATGTTCCGACACAGCCTAGCTGGAATTTGGCAACGGGTGTAATAGCAGGCCACTATTATATTGGAAAAAATACTTAAATGTAAGTTCAGCTGTTTTGCTGCATCTTCATCACACCGATACAACATCAAAATTTAGGGACAACAAAAAAGACGTTAATTCCAAAAAGAAAATGTGCACTTGGAAATTGTTTTATTTGAATGTTTACATATATTTTTGATAAATGGTCAAATGTTTGATTTCAACCTGCACCACAGAGCTACAGCCGACCCACATGGGGCATCAGTGTCTAGCCAAAGCAATGGCCTCTTTCCATTTCCATTGGAGGGCATCCCAATTCCATTAATTTCCCCCCACTTTCAATCAAGATGCCCTCCACAGCTGCAAGTATGACTTCATTGGGAGTGACACTCCATAGTAAAGGGGTAGTGCATGAAGGGGGGGCTTATAGAATATTCTGGAATAATCATCCAACTGGGAGCAGATGTGCAGAGAATAGACTAGAAGGGAAATAAAGGGAAAGGGAGAATGGCAGCAGGGAGCGATGGAGAGCAAACTTGAAAATACAACAGGAGTGAATGTTACTAGAATAAACTGACACAATACAAACAGGAACAGAGACTAAAGGGGCTGTCACACCTTGACGATTTAGCCAGCGTATGCCAACGTACAAAAAATCTGGCAAAAATGCTGCCATAGGTGGATAACTTATGGGTACTGTAGGAGACATAAATGGAAATGTGGTGTATGGTGTGCCTGGGTATGAATGTATGTTGTGGAGATGGAGACACAAATAGAGGTGGGTTTGTGCACCAAGGAAGTTTAGAACAGAATTTAACTGTGTTGTCATTCCACTGTCACAAGTACAGAGCAACAAAATTAATTCTCTGCATTTAACCTATGCCCTTTGGGAGCAGTGGGCTGCCATTGTGCAGTGCCCGGAGAGCAGTGTGGAGTTAAGGGTCTTGCTCAGGGACCCAGAGTGGCAGTCTGTGGGAGTGGGGGATCAAACTAACAACCTCAGGATTTGAAGCCTTATGCCCTGACCACTAGGCCGCTACTCCCCCATGGATGTGTACATAATTTTCTTTGACCGCTTCAACTCACTATGCTTCGTTTCACTTTGTTTTTTTTTTCAGTATTCATTCGTTTCCTATATTAATCTACTGATCTGACGTCATTGGCTTATTCATCCCTGCTGCGCTGTGCTGGTGCTAATTAATAAACCAAACAAATGTATCCTGTAGGTACGTTTTATCTCAGTTCCGAGCACGCTGAAGCAT